GTTGTCAATAGGAGTTTCAGAGACTTGAACAACTTGAGCCTCTGGGATATCGGTATTAAGATTATTGATAATAAGGAAAGGTGGTGTAGTACGACGCTCGAACTCACTTCTAATCAAACGTCGTCTTTTTCCATCAGGCGTATTTACGCATTGTCGAACCAAGTGCTTACATAACAAGAAACGATTTCCAACGAAACCAGGACAACTACACACCCAACGTGAAATATCTGTAAAGTACAAACTAGAACTACCCGAATTAATCGTTTCTTCATCAATACCCCTTTTTCTTTTCTTACTACACTTATTAGCACGTAGCTTTGCTCGCTCTTCATCATTCGCACCTGCATAAGTCCACGCCTTCTTGAAGTCATCCCACCAGTATGGTTCTATTGTTCCACTTCGAATTTGCAAAAACCGATCCTTCTGCGATGGAACCACTTCATCAAGAAGTGTCCACACTAAGAGGTCTAGTCTAGGCTGGTTAAAGCGCTGTAAGTAAAGTCGTTTAAGGACACCCCAATGTGTCTCTATTTTCATCGTGGTTTTTCCATAAGGCACGGTCAGTTTGGTTGACCGTGCCCAAAGATGCCATCGCCTTGTTGAGTACCAATTTGTCCAGAGATAGGACCAGAGCAACCGTAATCCTTATATATTTTATTTTTATAATTAATATATTGTTAGTTTTTATGGTACAAATCATCTGAAGGCATTCAAAATTGCATCTTCTCGGCGAATAAGCAGAAATTCTAAAAAAAAAAAACAAAAAAAAAAAAAACAAAAATAGCTTTGTAGTCCTTGTCCAGAACTTCAAAGTTACTTCTTTTTTTAAAGAATTTCTACTTATTCGTCGAGGAGATACGATTCGATTGAAAAAAATATATATAACAGGTAGTAAAATTATTAATTAATTAATGAAATATAATTTAAAATGATAATTATTATTATACCATGCTCTGTGCAGAATCGATACATCTCCTCTACTGCAGTTTTTCTTATGGCCGCTGGTGACATCGTACCTCCCTGTTCATCAACGGGTATTAATGGATGCAAGTCAAAGTGTCTTTGCATCAGTTCTAAAATTTTTTCCCGAAGCAAAGATGGGCAAATAATATATGACCGTGGATTACGGTCTTCTTCACTCGGGTAAAATGTGGGATCAATAAAACCAAACTCTTCGGAGGCTTGATTAACATCATAATTCACAGCTATTAATCCGGCATTACTTGATGGTTTTGCTTTCTCTTCAAGCTTACGTTTCACAGCTCGCTTTAGATGCCACGCACATAATTGGACAACGGAAGCCCCCCACACTTTGGATGCAGCATTTATTTCCGCGAAGTCTTTATCAGTAAATACGAAATCCGGGTTAATGTTATAAGATTTCAAAACCTCCATAAGTCTTTCTAATATTGTACTGCGCTTTCCCGTAGTGGCACCCGAATCTCTCGCTTTCGTTGTATCCATTATAAGGTAAGCGATCGGAAAACCAGCTCCATCTACATCAGCAATGACGCCATAAAGTTCATAGCATCCACGTGTAGTTTTATACGTTGCGTCTATATATATCTCGGTAACTTTAAGGTAAATGATATTATTATATATATAGTAACTAAAAATTCATTATATTTTAAATAACTCTTGTTTAATTTTCTATAATACTGGTAAATTTAAAAAATTCACCATATTGAATGGCACGATTCGAATCGTGACATTCAACATGGTGAATTTTTTAATTTTTACCAGTGTAAAGGCGATTTCTTAAGATCAGTAAACTTATTTTATTTATTTTTTATTTATTGTTTTTATTATTCTTTTTACTTATTTTTCCTTTTTTTTTTTTTTTTTTTTTTTATAGGAGTTCAAAAGAATTTATCTTTACCTTTAATGTTGAGATCATTAATACTTTTTAGTAATGGTGTCGTGAAGGCAATGGCAGTGGACTCAGAATCTTGTATGTTTAGGCATTGATGGAAATCTTGATTTCTGTGTTCATTTAGAAGCCTGCATGCAGATTCGACAGGATTGTTATGACGCTGATATATGTTTCGATTTGCCATAGCCTTCCAATAGTATATGCGCTTGTGAGAGAATTTTGAGATATCGAACCCGCGATGTCGTAGATGATTCGTCAATTGAACCATAGTGAGGTGCGCATATGTTTTGATCTCTTCACGTAATTCTTCTGGCATTTCAATACAAGGGTCTGGGCGTTCATGAATAGATCCATGATGGATATATATCTTTGCCATGCCAAGAACGATATCAACCCGTATTGTAATCTTTCCTTTACAGTTGTAACGTATGCATCTCTTCCGATTTGAATCTTTATATTGTCTTCTTAGAGCTTCATTCGATTGGCAGCATATATATGTGAATCTACAGACTGTATCGCTGTACTTTTTTGATAGGTCTGCTTCGTGATAGCTAACAAAGATTGAAAAGAAAAAAAAAGGCGCGCAGATTAAAAAAAAAAAGATTGAAAAGAAAAAAGAAAGGCGTGCAGACTAAAAAAAAAACTTACGTCCAGAAAAAATCATCACCACCTTCGATCTCAGTAATGATAAGGTCAGCAATTTCTTTCGCCGTCATATTTTGTATATCTAAGTTCATTTTTACTAACAACTGTGTCTGGTATGCCTTATCAGCTACACCGTCGGCATTTACATTTTCTGTTAGCTCTTGGATTCCATTTGTGACGAAATCACCCACTTCGAGATAATCAATTTCAACACATTCAATATTATTCGCTTGGTCTGTTTCCTGACTAGTAATTTCACGATTCTTTTTCCTTTGATCACGATTTTTTTTACATACAATACAGGTTTCGTGACAAAGACCATCCCAAACAAATTTTTCATGAGGACGCTTAGTTTTACACCCACTGCATTTTTTCATTTTGGAAATTGTATACGTCGATGTCAAATATTTGTTGTATGTAATTTGTTCTTAGGTTAACACATCGCTCATAGTAAGATATCATCCAATATTTATACGAATAACCAAGCATATTTTATTAATGATAATTGTATCTTTGTAGGGTAAGAAATACGAATTATGAATGTGTCGCTGCATACAAAAGAGAGAGATGAGATTATAATCGGACAATGAAGATGGTTTAAAAAAAAAATTATTTGCAATTACACTTCGAATATCACATTTATTTGATCACTTTATTATTGTATTACTAATTTAATTAAAATCATTGATATCACTAGAACTAATATATAACACGAATCTGTCATTTAGATATATTTGATTGCATTAATATAGGTCTGTAGGAAGATTTGATTGCATTAAACATGTCCGTGGAAAGATTTGATTACATTAAAGCAGATGTTTGGAATTTGAATGCATTAGAACGAGTTCGTGGAAAATTTTGATTGTATATATTAAAATGGAAGATAATAAAAATAATGGTAAGAATTTTGGTTTTTTTTTGTTAATTATATAATACAATGGTACAAATAGCTGCGCATCAGGAAGAAAGGCATTGTTTTGGTAATTTATTAGTGCTAAAAAAACCAGCATATATACAAAGTATTTCTTGTATAAATACAGCAAGACGAGATACGATTATAATAAATATTAATGGAAACAATAAGAATAATGATCGCGAGATAATACTAATAAAAAATAACAATACATTATAATAAAAAACAATACATTTATTAATGGCTACGTAGAATTTATAAATGAAATATCAACACAAGATAACTGATAGAACAAAAATTCATTCGTATATTTATTGGTTCTAAGTTGAATTCTTTAATTATTTTATTTTCGCTTCTTCTTCCTTGAATTATTATGTCTGAATCGCAAATTCCTAACATCATACCTTTCTATAACTAACTTACCTCACAACTACTAAAATTCTCAATTATCATTATGAATATTACGAATAATATCGTGCGATAATTTCTCGCGTCTTTATTTTTATTTTTTTTTTTAAAAAGAATAATTTATTGGTAAATATCAATGCGAAAACCTAAAAGTTTGGTCTTATACAACATACAAGGAACTCTTGATAAGGAACTTTCAATATAAAAAAAAACTAATATAAGAAAAATTTTATAACAGTTTTTTTGACATAAGAAATCTTGAAATCTCGGTATAAGGTTTTGTTGGACACGGAACCTTCTTTAGCTGTAGCAAAGTTCTTTAAGAAAGAAAAACTATTTTCGAATAATAATAAAAAATAAAAAATAAAAGCTATTTTCGAATAATAAGAAAAGAAAAGTAAAAGAACTTTTCGCATTCGCGTTATGGGACAAGATGGGATATGCTGCGGCAATTTCGGAGATCATCACCGAACTTCGGGGGTGCGAGATTATCACCCGAACTTCGGGGGGGTGCTCCGGGCTGATTCTAACTCAGGTGGTCTCATGTAAATTTTTATATTGGTGACATTTTAGCAATTTTGATTATTGGTCCATTGTTATACTTTAATAATGTCTTGTAGGTCAATTGTTTAACTATTTATTCTGTAGAATTGTTGGTATTTTGCAAATTTAATTTGTCGGTTTATTTAGTGATGCCCAAAAATTTCCTTTCTTATCAGCTAATTCTGTAATTCGTTCGATAAATATGAAAATATGTAAGTATTGTTTTTTTATCAAATATATATTAACATATTAAGTTATGTACATACTTTTTTTTTTTGCAGTTATAAATAAACAAAAATCATTGATCCAACAACTGGTGCACTCAAAGTTACAGCATACAAGAATTATAATACTGTGTTTATATTTCTTACATTTGCTATTTGTTATGGCTTTTCTTTCATACAATTACCCGCAACTATTTGTCATGCGATACTATTTCATGGGAAGAAAATTGTAATCGATACAAGAAAACTCGTGAAGGAGAGGACGAAGACATCAACTGTAGAATGATGAGAAAATATCCAGGTTTCAATCATATTCTTTCATTTCATTTTTAATAATTATTTTGGAAAAAGCTTATTAAAGTTATTATTTACATAATTGATTCTTATGCTAACAATGGAAATACCAAATTATTGGTATGGTGGTATTTCCTTGTCACGTTAATAATCACAATTATCCTTGACTATTTGGTGGGGTGTATTGCTGGCAGTTGCTCTTTCTGTATAATATTTATGATCACTTGTTCAAATCTCTTATTTAAAATACAATCTCATTTATTCTTGTCAATAGGAATTATTCAGGCCATCTCAAATTGGCAAATTGGTTTAAGTATTATAACCGAATTGGTGTGCGGTTTTATTTTACCTGGCCGTCTCATCGCAAATGTATGCTTTAAGCTTATGGATATATGTCTTTGTCACGTTGTTTGTTATTTGTTCAAGAGTTAAACTTGGATATTTAAATAAAAATTTATTAGTGCCAAAATTGTTTAAATATTGTTATAAATTTATTTTTCACGTTAAAAGGTCATTGTATGAAAGTTCCTCCAAGAAGTATTTTCACATCACAAATATGGGTACATTTGTTGGTGTAATTATAAACTATTGTTTATAGTCAATGCAAAAAAGAATATATCTTGATGGTACAGAACGTGATCTAAGCGACCAAGTAAGTAGGTTTTGTTTTTATCATTTAATCTAGTTCTTTGAACTTTTTTAAAAGAACATTTTTAATTGTTTTTGTAGTGGGCTGGCCTTCGGTCAGCGAGATTCAACGCTGCATCTATATTGTGGAGATTAATTGGACCAGGAAGACTTTTGGGTATGTCAATTCGAATATAATGTATCATTATTATTGAAATCATGAATTATATATAAATCTAATATTCCTTATGGTTCCTGTGATTTATGACAGTCTGGCACTATTTATAATATAATCCCCTGTCGCACTAAGTGTCACTCATGACTACCTTCATTATTATTTTTACACGTGATTAACCATATTTATAATAATCATATTGTCACCGGGAATCTTCCCACGAAAGATTCCCGGTCTCATATAATTTTTAATGCTTAATTTTTATTTGAATCATTTTCTTTTTTGTATTTTTCACGTTTTATTTAAAGAACTTTAAAAGCCAAAGTAAATAGGCACAGTAAAACGATGCTAAAAAAAGGCACGATAAGAGCAAAGTGAAAGTAAGAGTTTGAAAAAAGTTAAACGTAGAAGTAAAAAGCAAAGGCGATAAAGAGTAAAACAATAAAAATGATGTAAATAAAAAAAAAAATAAAGCGAAGCCTAAAAGTTAGTAAAGCACAATACGAATATAAATAAGAAACACGTGTAAAAATAATGGTATGGTAGTCCGATTAACATCTAGTGACACACTCCTGGGGATTGTTTATTTATTTCCTGTGGGAAATTATAACAGAGGCCGATGATCATAGTACGTGGATGGCCCTTTGGGCGCTATGATCATCGGTAACCTCTGTTATAATTTCTACTCTTCTAGGAAATAAATAATACTACTAATTGAATATTAGCGACACGAAAGAATTATATAAAATTTTCGCTATCACTAAATATTATGGCCTATCCTATTATAATTTATCAATATACAGTACTATGTTACAGAAAAGCGATATTTTAAGTATGGGACAGCAAGTCCCAAAAACTTTTTAATAAAAGTGGCCAAATTTGAATATGTTACACAAAACAAGCAATGTGATTGGATAATATTGTAATATAAAATAATTAATTGGATTTTTTTTATTAATAGTGGCCAAATTTTTATTTATATATAAACTTTAAATTGCAACAGCTCTTAATTTAAATATAAAATTTAAAAAACTAATTTAGCCAAATTTTAATTATAATAAATAAATTTTTTCGGCTAAAAATTTTTTTACTGTAATAAAATTAAATTTGGATCACTAGTAAGTTTTTTTAAAAATGTCTATTTAGTTTGTCGGGTTATGCTGTCCCATACAGTTTTTGAAATTTCAGATTCAAATACAGTTCTTATGAGAACAGTATAATAACTTTAGGTGTTCTCAAACTTATATTTTATATTCACAAAAAAAAAAAAAAAAAACAGCACTCAACAATAATTTATTTATTGGAAAATGTACTAAAGGTCAAAAAAAAATAGTACGTATAAATTTTCAGCATAAAATTTATGCTAAACATATGTTTTATATTTATACCAATTCTAATTAAATATAATATACATCAAATTTGCAAATTTAATCTTTACAATATGGTGCACTTTTTCATTTCAAATCTGCAGCTACTTATTATATACTTATGGTTAATTTGCTGTTCTCAAAAATTTTTAATAGTGACAGTAAAAAATTTATACTGTGCACAAATTTATAGTAGTGTTCTCATGAGAACTCTGAGAACACTAATTTCAAACACTGGTCCCATACTATACATTTTTATATACGTCTTACATAAATGTTACTCTTAAAAACAAATACACTAATAGATAATCTGTTTTTGAAATTCTGAATCAGAGCTGAGAATGATGTGATCGATTTTACTTATTGCAAGGAAATCGGAATTTGTAAGTGTGTAAGAATAGCAATTTAGGATTAGGACGTTAGAGTTAGGTACTATGACGATAAGTTGACGTTTTTATGTGTAAAATTTCATCCCAGCCATTTTTGATTAGTCGACCAAGATCGATTTAAACACTAGTTTTTGAGCCTTTTCGCTTTCTTTTTTCTTCTTTCACACGTGTTCGGATTCTATGTCAGGTTGATCCGGAATACCCAAAATTTGTGTTCTCTGATTGGCTATTTCCTATTAGAGGTTTGTATTATTCGCGCGAATAAATGATGCCTCGATGTAGGGATGTCCGGCAAGGACTGCAGTCTGAACTAGTCTTTTGAACTGGCTCAAGTGGTCCCCGGTCCATAAATTAAGACCGGTCTTAATAAGTCGGTCCATAGTAAGGATACCAAATATGTTTAACCAGTAAAAAAACTTCTATTTTTTTACTTAAGTATATATGATAACATAATATATACGTATATACTTAATAAAGAGACTAGAGGCACGACCTAACTTAATACCGAAAAAAAAATAACAATAACGTTTATATGTATTTCAAAGTTCTGTCATAACGATTTTCTTAACAAAATCGTTTAAACAACTTCGAGTAAGTTTACATATTGAAACCATTTACACGAGATTATATTAATTTTTTCACAACTTTCAGCTAAACAGAATCAAAAGTCGATGAAATATCTTAAATTTATAGTTAACTATATTAAAAAAAACAGATAAGGTCCTCTTTGCAACATATAATTTAGTGTAGAGTCAGAAGCATGACTAAATTTTACACTCCTATTTAGCTAAAGTAGACCGGTCTTGGAACCAGATTGAATTAGAACTGGTTTAGTAGACCAGTTTATAAACCTCAGTCTGGTCTACGGTCTGCACCTTTTGAACCAAGACCGGTGGAAATCAACGCTCAGGCACAAAATTGACAAGACGGATCCAGATGCAGGTGAGTGTCATTTCTGCGATTCACACGAAAATGAAATTACAGTAATTCAGCATGGTATAGGTGAGCAGACCAATGTTGGAAATCTTATGTTCTCATACCTTTAGATTTGAGAACATTTGATATCCATATATGTTCTCTATGAAAAAAAATTTGAGAACATAATACTCGAAAAATATGTTCTCTATATAAGTAAAATATGAGTATAATAGCATAATGCCAAAGTTAGAAATCTAGCGAAGTTCCGAAAAGAAAATAAATGAACATGAAAGACGAGAAGCGTTGGGACAAAAATTGAATTAATGTCCGATAGTTCCGATAATTTCCGAAATAATAAATTTAAAAAATAGGGACATAAATAAATTTTGCTGATGAGAATATAAATAAATTTCTGAGAACATTAAATTAATAAATTTGTTCTCATGAGAACATAAATCTCAAACCAGATTTCCAACACTGGAGCAGACCATTATGTAATAGTTATACACTGGATATCATGGGTACAAGCGGAAATTTGTAAATATGGATGCGGATAACATGGACTGGTGTCTAATGCATATTTTTTAATTACAAACGTAGTGCAGGTGTATAGTGAAAATCATTAATCAAATTTTTTTATAATTAGCGGTGGCGTAGTGGAAGCGTAAGTAGTAAAAATATATAAAATTTAGATTGCAATAACTCTTGAATAAGCGAACACACAAATAAAATTATATTTGTTGGGTTCATTTTAGTGTGCTTTTTAAAGTAACAACGCCTTTTTATTTATTTTTATTGGTTGAAGCGTAGCGGAGGACCCAAATTCTCCTGCAAAATGATCATTTTTGATGATTTTTTAACAAAAATGTCAAAAAACGTGATTTTTATCGATCACTATTGCAATACGAGTAGACAAAAAAATTTAAAGTTACGGTTTGATTTTTTTATTAAAAAAAAACAAAAACGGCCATTTTGTATGAAAATTAAGTCTCTGCTATGCTTCAAACAACAACAACAAAAAAAAAAAAGAAAAAAAAAAAGCGTTGTAACTTTAAAGAGTACACTAAAATGAACCCGACAAATATAATTTTATTTGTGTGTGTTTGCTCGTTCAAGAGTTATTGCAATCTAAATTTTATAGTTTTTACTACGCCACCGTTAAAAAATTGATTAATGATTTTCACCTGCACTATGTTTGTTTGTGATATGTATTAGACACCCCAATGGATTATGTCCATATTGTCCATATTTTTTTATTTGATAATACGCTCTGTCCAAATCAAACACGTGTTTATATTCAAATAGTTGGTCTGCAATTTAGGCTAAATTCTTGATTTTCGAAATATTTCGAATGGAAAGTCATCAGTCCTAAAACACGCATGCCTAAATTAGGATAAAATTACGAAAAAACCTAAGAAATTTGAGAATGCCGTGGACATGACACTATTTGGATTAGCCCATACCCATATTTGTCCAAGTCAAAATAAAATTTTTATTGGACATAGTCCAAATACAAACACTGGTTCAGACATCGTTACAATGTACGTACCATGCGCTGATTTTAGTTACACCATCATTCTTCGATTTAATCAATCAAATGAATAATAAAACCGGATATCGATTTACTGCTGTTTTCATAAAAGTGCAAAAAGTCCAAACACCAATCAACTCCCAAAAAGTTAAATAATATAAACTATTATATACCATGAAAATATTTAAGTTTGTTTTTTTACCAATATTGTTGATTTTGGCAACGGGAAATTCTGGGATACGTAAAAAATTGCTTGTTTCCAGATAATTCTTCAATTCAGTTTTAAGAACCACCTACCTTTTCGGGTGTCTCAAAATTTATGAAAACAGCAATAATAATTTGGATTAAATCCGAAATTGAACATCGCGAAATAGCGGGCATGGGCGTTATTTAGAAAACCGTGTCCCTCAAAATAGTATGCATGTTTTCAAACCCTATAAAAAATGTTTGTTCTAGGAATTGTTCGGAATGGTCCGAACAGGGGTTTATATTTGTACTGTTTCATGGGTAGCTTCAAGATGATCATTACATCACGTGATAAATTTTTCGGCCTAAGTGTTAGGTTTAATGTTAGGGTTAGTTTAGGCCGATTTTGTTAGTACTAGTAAACAAATGACGTATTACATGATTTCACGGGATGTGATGATCACTGGGTTCATCTTCCTTGAAGTGTCCCATTTCATTACGATGCTTGTATGGGATGTAAAAATAGAAGATTTTTGATTAAAAATTATCGTACAAAAAAGTATAAAAAATGTATGAAGAATGTATAAAACACACACATCCAATAAACATCCTTTAGGAAGATTAGATTTTCCAAACAAAAAACGGATAATTTCAGAATTTTCTGAACAATTTTTTTTTAGGAAAATAACGCTCATGCGCGTCCCGAATGACATGCACCCCAAATTGGGGTCTCAACAAATAATTTGATACAACAGACAGGTTTAGGAAATTTTATATTTGTCTCAAAAGAACGCTCATGCGCGTACTCTAAATATTGCGCATATATTCAACAGGTGGGCGTTATTTCACGAAAATATGGTAATTAAATAAGTTACTTTCTGAGTTCAGATTCCATTGATTCAGGGTTGGGCAACTGGACAAGTGGGTTGTCCAATAAAATTTAAATTTCTAAATTGTTTGTAATTTTTTTAGAAATAAGAAACCTCTGTTCAGAGTCAAACAAACTAAATAATTAGGACAATAATCTACCACTAATTTTTATTCTATATATGTCAGTAAATCAATGGACACTGGACAAATTTATATGTCTAGTGTCCAGTAAAATTCACTGGACATAGGGGGCTGCCCAACCCTGCATTGATTAATATAGCCCTGAACTTCCTTTTTTTCGATGAGTGCCGCCAAAGAAAATGTACATCATAAATATAAACCTTTTGTATAACAGTAATCTAAACGTCAATCAACTTAAATTCTTTTATGATCACGTATTGTTGTAAAGATAATTTTTTGAAGCCCCAAATTTGATATACAAATGTTCTTTATTTAAAATGTACATTTTCTCTTAGCGAACATATATATATATAAATAAGTATCAAAATGTAGTATAAGCCGACCAAGTTATGAAAAAAGCAATAGATATATCAAAAGATAAAGTCTACGATGCCAGTACCTCCGAATGTTGTGATCAGATATATAGATCCACTTCTATTGAACAGTGCGATAATGTGGTATAAGGCATTGGGCGTACTGTAGAAATGTGGCATTGTGGCAAAAATGCTACAATTGGCAATAAGCATTGCAGCGGTTTGTGGCTCGTGTGGCGGAAAAAAATCATAACTTAATTTCATCTGTCGTTAACTATAGTGTGGCAGTGTGGCAAAAATGCTACAATTGGCAATAAGCATTGCAGCGGTCTGTGGCTCGTGTGGTGGAAAAAAATCATAACTTATTAATTTCATCTGTCGTTAACTATAATATGATTCCGGCCGAACTACCTAACATTCCTAACTACAATAAACTTTTCAATATACCCTTATTATTACATATTATCGCTAATTTCACTAACAATGCTGATATACTAGGTAAATGGAGACCATTTTGAGTTCGAAGAACCAGTCCGACAACATGGTTATTTCCTGTTGTTTTTATCTGATTGACCAATCAAATCCATAATTTGCGGACACACACACACACAAAACTGTCACTATTCTACCCGTAATGTTCTTCGAACAATCATATATCGGCGGATTTGCTGAATTGATCCTAAATTGTGTCCTCAAATCCGCCATTTTGTAGCAAACAAATATACGTACATATAAAGATAATTTAAGGGGTAAATAGATACAATGACATTGTAATTGTATCTATTTACCCCTTAAATTATCTTTCTATGTACGCTTGTTTGCTTTATACAAACTTTGGGGTTCACTTTGCGGATAACTTTGAGGATCAATTAAGGATCAATTCAGGACCAATTCCGATATGTTAAATAGGGTTACCTAAATCGTCGCTGCCATTTTCTCCCTACAGGCCATTTACCTAATATCACGTGGGTTATGATTAGTTGTAGATATATATTGTTAGTAAATTATCACCTATGTGATGTCAGGTAAATGGTCTGTAGAGGAAAGCTGTCGGAGAAATGAGATGTAGCCGTCATTTTTATGACTTTGTCGATTAAAGTGTCTTACATTTAATAGCTGATATCCCCGAGTACGGTACTATTAAAACATAGTGCCGACTCGGGTAAGGCACTATGTTTTAATAGTACAGTACTTGGCACTTGCGGAATTTTATCTGTTATGTATGTTCACACATATAGCCAATTATAATCGTTTTTTTTTTTTTTGCGGATGATCGGACAAACATAAATAGGCAATGGCTTCTAATAAGAACGTTGTGACCACGTGCCTAAACATATTTGGACATAGTGCCCTGAATAAAGGTTGTAAGTTCTAATGATATAAGGTTATTATAATGCTGATAAAGGATGTGTATACAATATGCCACACTAATACACACACGTAGTAGTAGTGAATTGCAAGATTAACCGGAATAACTAATTGTTTAATAGCTTAATTATGACCAACAATTACAATTCAAACGCTCTAATGCTAATGGTTTACCGAGATCCTTGTGCCACACACGTCTATAAATAAAAATCAACAGGGCTGTGCAATTCATGTAACACTCTTTATGCATTATCAGGTAAACTTGCAGGATAATCATGATATTAACAGTAAATAAGTCAAGGGGCTTAACTGACTTTGAAAACCGATTCAATGATCAATCATAACCGACTTTTACTTAGTTTACGGGATAATAATTGTCTTAAAAACATCGATAAATTTAGAAAAAGATCTAAGTACATTATACATATTAGCTATTTCACATTTAGAGATCACCTGATTCTAAATTATCTATGGCCGTTGATTAATAATCAACTCAGAAGCTACCCGGCTTCCATATTTGCGGAAGAAGCGAAAAAAAAATATATATAACGGAAGATTTGCTTCTTAATCCTCAGCTCAGTGCGCTAGAAAATAAAGCGTAAAGGATTGCAATCAGAAGGATTAAAGAATGAGCGAACAAGATCAATTAAGTTTCTTGATTGATACTCAACCAGCTTCCCGTGTTTGCGTCTTTGTTAATTCTATTAGCAATCCTGTGGCTCAAAAAGTGATTGACGATTCGTCGTTAATCACACTTCCATTTCCGCCTACTATTAATCCTCATGACCTTGTCGTTCCACGCCCAGATGGTCATGTTTCTCGGCCTCCTACAACCTTTATTATTTATCGTAGATTATTTTTTGAAACCGCACGAGCTGCCGGCTATAATTTCCCAATGAATGTTATTTCTTCAATGGCGTCTAAATCATGGGAAAAAGAATCAGATAGCGTTAAAAAAGAGTATAGAAGAATTTCGAGAGAAGCCTTTAATTACTATAATGAAATATTTCCTAAAAGCAAGCCTCAAAAAAAAAGAGACCTATGGAGAACTGTTTCATTTGATAAATCTACTCGTAAAGCTAAAATAACCAAATCTATAAAGTCAGTTAATAATGATAGGTCTGTAAAATCATCAGAGCTTGAATTTACTCTTAACCATGATTTGCCGTTGTCGTCACCTGATATTTCCCAAATGCCTAGTAATCTAAATGTTAATTCTCCAGAATTAAATCTTGACTTAAATGTCAATAGAACTGATTTATTTGATCAAAATGTCTATCGAAGTCCTGATATATCCAATAAAGAATTTAATTCGGAATTTCTTTCTACCGCTACACAATATTTTGATTTATCGATTCAAGCGAATCAACAAATCATTTTGCAAGCTACGGAGAATAATGTCAATGATAACTTGTTTGTTGACGAAGGTCAATATGAATTTGGTGCTTCAGGCTTCTCTAATGAAATTCTAGAGACAGGTCAATTCGGAATCTTTGATACTCAAAATTTTAGCACTTTAGATAATTTTGTCTGTTCTAATAATTCAAATGAGATGAATGAGATGTGTTCTGAACAATCATTCTCTCCTAACCTATTAAATTAAACGATCTATCAAGATAATCTAAATGATGCATTGATTCCTTATTATATCGTAAATACTCTTTCTGAACATATTTTGTTTTGTAAGATATGTTCATTCGTGATACTATATTTTAAAATTACGCTTCTTTATAAGAAAAATATGATTATTATTTTTAAAAATATTATTATATTTTAAAAAAAATTATGCTTTTTTATAAGAAATGAGATCGTTTATAATGTTTTGAAATTTTGCTTTTGTAATAAATATCGGCTCTGACATTTTAAAGTTATGCTTTTATAGTTTATAAGGAATATCGGATAACGATATTTTATTAAAATTTATGAGACCAATATTCGATATGATACTAAGGTGGCTATAATCAAGGTCATATAAAACTTATGATTTCTTACTATTCTCGTAGTTCGTTTTCGTCCTATCAATATAATAAAATTTGCAGCTTTAAAGTAAAAATTTTCAAGGTTTTTTGAATATTACTATTTTATGTTAGTACAAAAATTTTTTTATGGATTTTGTAAAAATATAGCAAGAGATCATATAAAAAAAAATATAGCCACAGTGAAACCTCCATAAATGCACGCTCTTGGGACTGAACTTTAACAACGCACATTTAGAGAACAATAAGTATTTGATCCAGAGGTTGAGCATCATAGGCAGACATTCGTATGATTGGATGTTTAAATCAATTTAATTTTACATTATTTATACAGTTTAAAGTACTTTT